AAAGAGGGAAATTATATAATGCCCTGTATATACTGAAAACACCCGGTATGTTACTAAGGCGATGGTGGGGTAAATAAAGCACAGAAAAGTAATACTGCATCCTATCATGCATGTCATAAGAGGCGACTACAAATAGGAGTTTGCTTGGGATTGGCTACATCCTCAAATAGAAACCATAGCCACAATTTGTATTTGTGGCCTTTAACTCCTTTTGTTAAAATTAATGTTTTATTTGCACATGGGACAGAAACCTCCAATTGGTTGCCACTCATCATCATCTAGTGACTTGCCGCCTGGTGTAGGGCGATCATGTCTCTACACATGGACCTTAGAAGTACTCTAGTTTGAACTTTGTTAACTGTGTAGAACGAGATTCATTACAGTTGCTCCGGTTCGATTATCATTCACACGGTGTTAATGCTGGAGGAAACAATGACCGACCGACCATTTAACAGATGCGTTCAGGTCTTCAATTATTTTACGCGCACGCATAAACACGCACACGTTATATATATATATGGAAGTCGCCCTGGCGTAGCGACTAGACACTCGCGTGCGAATCGGAATGTAGAGGTCAAAAATGACCTTGACTCCCAGGTCGACGCAGCCGTGAGTGGGTACCGGGTGCAGTCACGTTAGTAAAGGCGGCCGGCGTGATGCTAACCACATCACCCATCTTGTGCCGATTCGTCTATAAAAATATAGGTCTAGCCCTATATTCCCTATACACCTAAAGGGGTGGAAAAGGGACATTTACTTTACCTATATATATATATTTGCGCTGTATTTAGAGTGTTTGTTTCTGTCGCAGGCCCTAATTCTACCATCGCAGCTTATGAACACAGGTGACAGCGGAGGAGAGTACATTTCCCTGCCAGGTCGACTGTATGGAGGCGCTTTAGTCAGTAAGTTCTGTTTTAGATTGTGTGCAGTCAAATACATACGCATACATATGCCTGTATTCTTCCATACGTTTATTGACTCAACCATCTGCTTAATCTACTACCAAATGTGTATCCTCATAAGGTTTTATCCATTAGTTTAATAACTTTCCTTCATCTGCTAGTTTATGCATCCACCCATAAATCTACAAATTAATCCATCCGTCTGTCACAAGCACATTTCATCTTTCATTTAATTAAAAAAAAAAAAATAAATAAATAAAAAAAAAACAACTTATTCTACATCCTCATAAGGAGTGAGGAAGGGGTGTATTCTTTCACCATACTTATTCAAAATATATGCAGAAAACATAATAAGAAATGCACCCACCCCCCCCCCCCCCCCGCCCCCCCCCCCCGGCCCCAATTAAAAAAAAAATGACCAGACTTGTGACACTTATGATTCGCTGATAACCGATGACAACCGTATTCCGAAACTTCGCGGTGCAGATGACACAGTCCTCCTTTTGAACAATGTAAAGAGAACAGAACATTTAATCATGTCCGTCAACAACAACAACAAAACTGCGATGATCAAAATCTCTTCTTAAAAGAAAACAAAAATACTGTCCATAAACAAAATTGTCTGCCACCTAACAGTAACAATAAATTGCGAAATCGAAATGTCACATACTTTGAATATCCAGTGTTGAGTTATATATACGCACACACACACACACACACACACACACACACACACATATATATATATATATATATATATATATATATATATAATAAAACAGAAAACACTTGTCAGTATGACAGTTTATTATGTGTAGTTATTTTAAAATGCCTGCCCCCTCCACCATGTTGCCCACCCAACTCGAAAACAACTGTTCTATGGTGAATGGCCGATGTCTAGAGGATGTCGCGATCTGTCTCTAATACGATATAATGATGTGTGCAAGCGAGACATTAGAACACTGAACAGTCTGGGCGGGAATAAAGAAAAAGAGAACATGTTTGCAGGCAGGTTAACATCTGGGTTCCTGAGACGAAGCGCTTTAATTCCATGTTTTGGCAACTGCAGTATTTAAACTTATTTTATAACTGAAATACTTTTTTAATAGTAGTTTGGTCTTGCTGGTAACATTAAACACCGCCATCTATTTCTCCCTACATATAGAACAATATAGCACTGTAGAGAGAAAGGTGCCAGTAATACGAAGGTCGACACTGCAGAACCGACATGATACCGAACTCTCTTTTGCCTAGTAGAACCAAGAAAAAGCCACCATATTCTGTGGCTGGCTTGCACCATAAATGATATGTAACTAAAGGTTAAAGTCGAGAGAATTGACTTCACTGCACGGAATTTTATCTCATACAGCTCGGTCTCTCTTAGCATAACGGCTAGCCACCTGCCGAGAGCGCCGCGCAGAGCACGAACTCCTTAGCTCCGGCTACGACCCCCAGGAATATCCGTACAATTTGCACCCCTGAACTGAAGGGCACAGCCGTGAAACCAACCCACGACCTTCAGAGTGCGAGGCAAACGACTTGACCACTTTGCCACAGACACACTGTCATGCTATAGTAAAGGATCCTGTTGAACTCCTTCAGGCGTATTAGGCAAACAGGGCTAGGCCTGTGTATTATAGACCGAGCGGCGCTCGATGGGTGATGTGGTCAGCATCCCACCTGTCGTCTTTACCTCCCAGCACTATACCTGGTACCCACTTAAAGCTGGGTTGACCTGAGAGCCAAGGTCTTTTCTGAAAATATCCTTCTCCGTCAGGACCCAAACACACAACCTTCAGATCGACAGGCTAACCTGTAGCCGCTACACCACAGCGGCTCCTTTACAACTATAGCGTGTCATAAAATTCGAACCCTCACACTTTAACAGATATCTCGAAAACTCGTGTACGCATCAACATGAATTGTCCCGTGGTAGCATTATATTTGCCATGTCCTCTCAATTTGTGCGTCGTGTCTATTTGCGTGTATATGTATGTCTGTCTCTAGGTGTTTTATGACTGTATTTATGTGTTGGGTATGAGTGTGTGTGTTTGTCTGTTTGAGTGTTATATCTGTTATGTGTGTATGTGCGTGTGTGTGCGTGTGTCTGTGTGTGTGTGCCCTCATGTGCTGTGTCTGTGTTGTCAGTGTATATTTGTATTTGTCACTGTGTGTCCGCCTTCCTGGTATTTCTTCCTCGCGTCTTCGTATTTGTGTATGTAAACTTTTAGATGTACCTTTACCATCCATGCTTTTGTATTTCTGCTTGACATTTATATTACTTACTTTGATACATGAAGGTAGCAGGACATGTATGCCACATACAATATCCGACAATTAAGTAATGAGACAAATTCCATAAAATTAAAATAATCAACAGTTAAAGATCTGTATCTGATTCAAAGTAAGCAACTTGTGCATTGATACAGCAAGTGGCACAATCTAACAAACATTGGAACGACCTCTGTAGTTCTTTTGTTATCATGGCCCTTAAAGTCGATGTTAAAGCCCTTTGGGTGTCATCAGTATCGTTAAAGAAGCGTCCTTACAATCGTAACTTTAATTTTAGGAATAGAAGATAATCACATGGTGACAAATCTGATGATGTCTTTTGGGTACTCAACCCGCTGATGTTTTTTGGTCATCAGACAACGAAATTGGTACAAACCGGCAAGCACATTTTTTCTTGCCAAAGTCTTGCACTCAGATGTTATGAATGGTCCATCTATTAACACCAGATTCATCTGCCATCCTATTGACAGTAAAACAATGATTTTCTTGTATCCGTTCTCTCTTTTGCAATGAGCTCATCATTACGAACATAAATCTGGCCTCCAGGTCTAGGTGCGTTAGTAATTATTTCCACACCACTTTTGAATCGTGAATATCACCTAAAAATTTGTGCACGGGATAAACAATTATCCCCATAAACTTACTGCATTAATTTAACTGTTTCAGTGGCGATTTTTCTGAGTTGTAAAAAGAATTTAATGTTAGCTTTTTGCTCCATGAAAACGTAACAATGCACCTCTGACTGGGTCAACAAAATGACAGCTTGTTTCTTCTTCTTCTTCTTCACTTCCTCTTTTACCGCTGTGGGTGTCGAGGGAGATATAAGGTTCTGTTTCTAGCTCTTCTGGCTGCCTCAACCATAGGCACATAGTGCTGTTGTAGAGTTTCTCTGATGTTATCCTTCCATGTTGTTCTTGGTCTACCCCGTGCTCTACGTCCTTCTTCTCTTTCCATGTATGCTTTGTATGGTATGGTGTCATAAGGCATTCTCTCTAAGTGGGCAAACCATTTCACTTGCTGTCTTTGTATGTAATCCAGAATTGGTTCTGTGCCGACTTGCTCTCTTATGATCTCACTCCTGAACTTATCTCTTATGGTCACTCCTACAACCCTTCTCAGACATCTCATTTCCGTGGTTACTAATTTTCTTTTATGGTTTGTTGTGAGTGACCATGTCTGGCACTGGTAGCACAGAGTTGGAATAAATATGCTTTGAATAAGATGTCTCTTTGTGCTGATTGGGATTGTCTTATGCTGTAAGAGGGGGGCTAGCTGTCCCAATACTTGGTTTGCTTTACTGCATCTAATGTCAATTTCTTTATCAAATTTCCCATCTTCGGTAAATGTAGTTCCCAGATATTTAAACTCAGATGCCTGTTTAATGCCTTTGTATTCTATTGCTATGTTTAGATCTGTCTTCTTCTTTCCTATTGACATTACTTTTGTCTTTTCAGTGTTGATTCTCATATTATTTGTTTTACATTCTTCATTCATGGATGTTAGATGTTGTTGCAATTTCATGGCTGTATCTGCTATCAAGGCCTGGTCATCTGCAAAGAGTAATTCGTTGATCCTACTAAGATCTTCATTTATGGGCTTGGCATTCTTGCATATACTGTCGATGTAGGTGATAAACAGCAATGGTGATAAGACACACCCCTGTCTTACTCCAGATGTCACTGTGAAAGGATGAGATGTTCCCTAATTTATTCTAACTACACTTCTACAATCCCTGTATAAAATTTTGCACACTTCTGTGAGGTGTTCACTTACTCCATATCTTGCCGTTATTTTCCATAATAATTGTCTGTCGACTCTGTCAAATGCCTTCTCCTGGTCTACGAATGCCACAAATAAGTTCTTATTGTATTCAATGTTCTTTTCTATTAACTGTTTAAGTGTGAAAATTGCATCTGTGGTGCAGCTTCTATTTCTCCTAAATCCCATCTGTTCTTCTGCCAGCTGTGGTTCTATCACTGGTCTCAGTCTTGTTTCTATTATCTTGGCATACATTTTGCCAACATGGCTTATAAGAGAGATGCCTCGATATTGACCGCATTATCGTTTGCTTCTTTTGTTCTTCCACAATGGTATAACTATTGCATGTTGCCAATCAATATGGGCCGTTTGTTGTACCCATGCTGCATTGAATATTCTGTGAAGCCATCTGATGCTGCTTTCATCTGCTGCTTGAATTATTTCTGTTGGTAATCTATCAGGTCCTGGTGCTTTATATTTGGGAGACTGTTTAATGACTTTTTCTATTTCATCCATTAGTATGTGTGGTTCTAACACTGTTGCTCTGTGCTCTTCAGTTGTTCTTTCCTGATGATCTTCTAGAGGATTAAAGAGCTCATTGAAGTATTCCCTCCATCTTTCTGCTATCTCAGGTGGATCTATCAATGGCCTTCCTGTCGTATCATTTATTATTTCAGTGGGTTTGTAGCTCTCATCTCTTTTCCGCATATTTTTAACTACTTTGAAAAATGTTCTGCTGGCTGTTTTCTCATTTTCTGCTAGTGACTCACCGAAACGTTCCCAGGATGCTTGTTTTGCTTTCTTGACACTCCTGTTGGTTTCTCTCCTTTGCAGTCTATAGTTTATATATTCTTCTTCTTTCTTTGATTTTATCCACTGTTTATATAAGTCTTTTTTTCTTTTTAATTGCTTCTTTTACTTCTTGGCACGACTAAGGTGAATATTTGTTATTTCCCCGTCTGTTTCCACTCTTCCGTTTTCCACATAATTCTTCTGCAATACTAAGCATAGTGTTTTTATATATACTCCATTCTTCCTCTATATTGCCAACTACATGTGGAAGTTGTTTGAATGCTGTCTCTGCTTTCTGTTGTAACTGTTCTTTTACTCCTTCCTGTTTCAGATTTGCTATCTTGATGAGATCCTTGTTTTTGTTTAATTTCTTTCTGTGTTTCTTTAATGTAAGATGTTTTGCTGTTAACACAACTATTTTCTGGTCAGTGTCACATAGACCATTAGGGATTGCTCTTGAATCAAGAGTTCTCCTCCTTCCGTGAACTCTGGTAAGTATAAAGTCAATCTGGCTCTTGATGGAGACATCATTCCATTTGTACCAAGTGTAAAGTTGTGAATCTCTATGGTCAAAGAACGTGTTCGTAATAAAAAGATTGTGCTGGCTGCATAGATCCAATATTCTTTGACCATTTTCATTTCTAGCACTGTTCTTAGCTGCATATGGACCTAAAAACTGTTCGTATTCTCTTCTGTTATTTCCTACCCTCCCGTTGAAGTCACCTATTACATATAGTTTGTTTACAGCTTGTTTGTTGTCTGCTTATCGAGCGGCGATGAGAATTTGCCAGATCATAGATGTTGCCTCTTTAAATTTCATGCTTTGCTTCTTAGATGGCATTTTTGTCTTGGCCATAATAAAAGCAGTCTCACTGCTTAATTGTCGTATAATTACCGTATAAAAGAAAGATGCGCGTTTGAAAGGAGATAAAGTTTATTTGGAAATATAAGCTCGTGTGTTTCCACTGTGCTCTAGGTTGCTCTGATCTATTTTACTCTGCTCTGCTCTGCTCTGCTCTGCTCTCCTCTACATTGCTCTACTCTACTCTACGCTACTCTACTCTGCTCTACTCTACTCTGCTCTGCTTGACTCTGCTCTACTCTACTCTGCTCTGCTCGACTCTGCTCTGCTCTACGCTACTCTCTTCTTCTTTGCTCTGCTCTACTATGCTTTACTCTTCTCTGCTCTACTCTACTCCACTCTGTTCTTCTCTTCTCTGCTTTACTATACTCTACTCTGCTCTGCTCTACTCTGCTCTGCTCTTCTCTGCGCTTCACTACTCAACTCTGCTCTACTCAACTCTGCACTACTCAACTCTGCACTACTCAACTCTGCACTACTCAACTCTGCACTACTCAACTCTGCACTACTCAACTCTGCACTACTCAACTCTGCTCTACTCTACTCTGCTTTGTTCTACTCTACTTTACTCTGCTCTACTCTGCTTTACTCAAAGTCTGCTCTGCTCTACTCTACTCTATCCTTCTCTACTCTTCTTTGTTCTATTCTACTTTACTCTGCTCTACTCTGCTTTACTCAACTCTGCTCTGCTCTACTCTACTCTATCCTTCTCTACTCTTCTTTGTTCTACTCTACTTTACTCTGCTTTACTCAGAATCTACCATTTTTTCTACTCTTTTCCTATGTGACACTACAACTGACTCTATTCTACTCTTTTCTACTCTACACCACTCTATTCTACTGTAGTGTACTGTACTCTCCAATCCACTCTGCTCTGCTCTATTCGACTCTACGATACTCTCCTGTCTTTTTGTGTGTGCTATATTATTTTACTATCATCTACTCCATGTTACTTTACTCCTCACCCACCCTATCCCCACTGCCTTTTTCACTCTACTCCACACATTTAATTTACTCCTCTCTTAGTTAATTTACCCTAGTTGTCTTTGTTACCTTACACCTCTTTACATTTCTCTAATTGTTTGTAGTTTACATTGGCGATTGTAATATACATTCTGTCACTGATTCTCCCCAGGTCTGTCTATCGTGTACTGGATGACATTAAGCTCCCAAGATCGTGACATTATTCGTATGTGTATGCTGAGCTCTATGGTCTATTTCGTTATCCAGTTTATAGGTAAGTGAATGTCCCTCCTTGGGCGAGACTTTACTTGGTATGGTTGAATACGTCATTACAATGAAAGGAAATTATTAATTTTATTTTTAAACCAGGACTGCTTTCTACTTAAGTAAGTGACCCGACCAATGTACCATTACAGTGATTACAGCACTCACATGGATCTCCATAAAAAAAAAAAAAAAACAATTACACGTAGAAAACAAACAACCTAGACTGTAAAAAAAAAAAAAACGACGCTCAAGGCTCCAGACAAAGGTAATTGTACGAAAACAGTAATCAATTCTGTGGTCAACAAATTCACACAAAAATGAAGCAAATTACATGCTTCCGTGTATTGACTAGAGAGAGAGAGAGAGAGAGAGAGAGAGAGAGAGAGAGAGAGAGAGAGAGAGAGAGAGAAAGAGAGAGCTCTTCTGTGTATTGAATAGAGAAAGAGAGAGAGAAAGAGAGAGAGAGAGAGAGCTTCCGTGCATTGACTAGAGGGAGGGAGTGCTTCCTCGCATTGACTAGAGAGAGAGAGAGAGAGAGAGAGAGAGAGAGAGTGCTTCTGTGTTTTGACTAGAGGGAGGAGTGCTTCCGCGCATTGACTAGAGAGAGAGAGTGCTTCCGTGTATTGACTAGAGAGAGCGAGAGAGATAGAGACTGCTTCCGTGTATTGATTAGAGAGAGAGAGTGCTTCCGTGTATTGACTAGAAAGAGAGAGAGAGAGAGCGAGTGCTTCCGTATATTGACTAGAGAGAGAGAGAGAGAGAGAACGAGAGAGAGAAAGAGAGTGCTTCTGTGTATTGACTAGAGAGAGAGAGAGTGCTTCCGTGTATTGACTAGAAAGAGAGAGAGAGAGTGCTTCCGTGTATTGACTAAAGAGAAAGAGAACGAGAGAGAGAAAGAGAGTGCTTCTGTGTATTGACTAGAGAGAGAGAGTGCTTCTGTGTATTGACTAGAGAGAGAGAGAGAGAGAGAGCTTCCGTGTATTGACTAGAGAGAGAGAGAGAGAGAGAGAGAGTGCTTCCGTGTATTGACTAGAGAGAGAGAGTGCTTCCGTGTATTGACTAGATAGAGTGTGTGTGTGTGTGTGAGAGAGAGGGAGAGCTTCCGTGTATTGACTAGAGACAGAGCGTGCTTCCGTGTATTGACTAGAGAGAGAGAGAGAGAGAGAGAGAGAGAGAGAGAGAGAGAGAGAGAGAGAGAGCTTCCTTGAATTGACTAGAGAGAGAGAGAGAGACTCCGTGTATTGACTAGAGAGAGAGAGATAAAGAAAGAGATTGTGCATTCGTGTATTGACTAGAGAGAAAGAGAGATAAAGAAAGAGAGATCGCTTTCGTGTATTGATTAGAGAGAGAAAGAGATAGTGCTCGCGTGTATTAGCTAGAGAGAAAGATAAAGAAAGAAAGAAAGAAAGAAAGAAAGAGAGAGAGAGAGAGAGAGAGAGAGAGAGAGAGAGAGAGAGAGAGAGAGAGAGAGAGAAGTTGATATAAAAAATAAATAAGTTGATATATGTAATTCAATATATCTAAGATTTTTAGTGCATCTGTACTGCCATATAGCGTTTCCGTCTTCTCTCTCTCACTCTCTCTCTCTCTCTCTCTCTCTCTCTCTCTCTCTCTCTCTCTCTTGGTACATTTTTGTTTCCTCACTTCGCTGTTTCCGTATCTAAAATGATTTTGAATCATCGTCGTGTTGGAAATTATGTGTTCTTGAAAAGTCTACTAATCAAATCTACTACAGACACTGAAATATACTCACATGCACACGCACCAGACACGCGTATATTCACTTCTCTCTCTCTCTCTCTCTCTCTCTCTCTCTCTATATATATATATATATATATATATATATATATATATATATATATATATATACTAGCTGTACCCGGCCACGCGTTGCTGTGGCATAGTTTGGCTAAATGGAAAAGAAAGAAAATAAAAATCGCACGTGTTTAATACAATCATTGTCTGCTCAGATATAGAGATAGTCTTTGATCCCCGCCCACCACCACAACTAAATCCACCTACTACTCTCTCCCTCATCAAAGGTTTTTGGAAAAGAAAGACAATGGAAATCGCACGTGCTTAATATAGTTAATGTCGCAATCATTCTCTGAACAGATATAGAGATAGTCTGGTTTTCCAACTTTAGAACACGCACCCTATAATTGTGTCTTTATATTAGTAGTCGTTTAAATGGTGTTATTAGCACAGTAACAAAAATGGTTATTTGGTTATCACATGCTAAAGCTGTTTGTATTTTTATAGGGGACGGAAGTAAAGCTACAACTGTACTGTGAATAACAAAGTCAGTCGTAAAAAATAGAAAAGCGGAGGTAGCGTTAGTAAAACTTAAACAAATTCGGTAATGAGAACTTGAAAATCACGTGTAAAGCTCTTTAAGATCTCTTAAATTTAAGTCATTACCCCCTCCCCTTCCCTCTTCCATCGACTACTGCTCTCTCCCTCTTCGAAGGATTTGAAAATCACTACCTGGCGATATTTTTGTTGTTGCTGTAACTGACATTGACATCCTTGTCCATCTGGACTAAAATGGGGAGCAGGAATTGTAATAGGTAGTGAATGGGGCTAGTATAATATTTACCACATCATTCTTCAAGTACCAGTACAACTACTACCACGACCACCACCACAGTAGCTAAAATAATGTCACTGCTATCTGTGTTACCATTGGAGTAGACAGAGAGCCGTAAGCCAGAAGATTTGGTTCCGCATGGCTAGTGCTGTCGCCACAGACTGGTCAGGTTAGGATGTATAATTTCACTATCCGACAGAAAAACGCCATAACCTTACCGGCGGTCTTCACATGAGAGCACTATGATGCAACAGCCCATCCACAACTATTACTGCTGCTGCTACTTTAAGTGGGTAAAGCAGTTACTGTGATTTAAAGCTCTCTCAGTAAATAGTTTTGCCCCCCCCCCCCCCCCCCCCCCAATTCACCGACAACTCTTTCCCTCATTGAAGTTGTTGGGAGGGAAAAAAAAAAAAAAAACACACTTGAAAAGCAAATGAACACAGAAAAAAAAAAAAAAAAACCACAATTAGGAAATGAACGCCATGGTAAACAGTACAGCTTAAAATTACAACGCAGACGAAATAACTAAATCTAAATGAAAATAAATGAAAATCTATAAAATTTCAGCGTAACCATGCAATCGGAAAGTTTAAAATGCAATCATAAGTTTGCGAAATGGTCAAATTTAATTATCAAATGGTTTACCCATTTACTTGTCTTTTTTAATATTAAGGCAACATGGCTAATGCTGTCACCACGACAGAGCAGATGAGGATATTATTTTAGACCGGGGTAAAACAAAATTAACTACTGCGGATTCAAAACCAGGTCTCCCGCTCAGGAACCCAGTGGTCTAACCATTCGACCAAGCAGCAACATAATCGGATAAACGAAAAGAGAACTTAACTATTAGAGATGTGTGTCCCTACTAATGTGTCCTGATTAAAACACAATTCAAAACCGCAGGCAATTGTTTTCTCGTAGACTGATACTCCAGATATATTAATGAAACGGCACAACAATAGAAATCGCACGTGTCTAACACGGTTAATGAAGTTAATGTCGCAGTCACTGTCTTCGCGGACATCGAGATAGTCCTTGATGCACCCTCCCCCCCCCCCCCCCCCCCCCATCGAAGGTTGTTTGAAAAAAAAAACAGAAAATAGAAATCGTGTTTAATATGGTTATTGTGGCAAATATAGAGATAGTCTTGTTTGCGGTACCTCGACCTACTCTATGTATTAAGGCTTTGGCTGCACGTAACTCGCCGGCGAATGGCGGAAGCCTTGCGTGCTGACTACGGCGGCGCATGCGCAATTACTAACGTGGCTATAATTAGAAATCACTAAAGTTATAAATATTAGTTGCGAATATTATGGCATAAATTGTGGTCACCTATCTCTAACAGTGACAGGTTGAATTTCAAACCACGATGGTTCAAAATCCTGTATCAAAACAAACATATCCTGAAAATTTCAGCTAAATCGGTTCAGTGGTTTCCGAGTCTATAAGGGGGGGGGGGGGGGGGCAAACAAACACACAAACATTGATTTATATATATATATATATATATATATATATATATATATATATATATATATATATATATATATAAACGCGGGCAATAGTTTACTAGCAATGATCTCAGGTAAATAATGTATAGCTCGCCACTTATAACTTAAATTTATTTTATTACCACTGTATTATATTTTAGGGGGAAAAATCAACTTATGGTAGATATCAAAACTGTAATGTCAAGCTATATCTAGTTGTCATCTTAGCATCACTTTGATGTGCATGTTGTGAGTTTAGCTAACTGTTCCTCCACGTAGCCTCACTGCCTAATATAGAGATTTGCAATGAACCATGGCTTGCAACGTATCTGCTTCCGCCACGATTCGGCTTTATATGATTACTGCAACATATCTCCTTGCACTGCTCTAACGTCTAGGATTGATAACACAAACGGCTCTCAGTTCCTTTATACATTTCTGTCATTTTATTCGATCACATTCTTCCACACTGTTCCAACAATTATTCCAACATCCACGAATCATTCTCAAGACATTAAAACTACATCTTCTATTAACGCAACTGTCTTCTACGACTTCTGGTAAGCAACTGCTTTCCTGGAATTCTCTGATGCGACTGACCACGAGTCTAGCTCGGACTTGCCCACGTCTACTCAGCTGGCCCCAAGAATCTCATGCGGTTGTTTGTCGCACGGATTTTCCGCTTGGCTCGCTGTGAGCGGGGAGACCATGCCAAGCAGGGTCATCACAATTGCTGAACGCACGTGCACAATCTACATGTATACAGTAGATCTCCTTTTTTTTTTAAAGTATCAAGAAACCATGTGTTCTTAACCCTTCGGCTCGGTTCTATGGAAATCGCAACCCTTCGGCCTTGATTCTATGATAGGTACTGCAAATCTGGGAGAAATGTGGTTTTTCTGCCTACCCACGGGCGTGAACCCGGACCA